AAAACTAAAAATCGTTTTGAAACCGAAAATGAAAAATTGAAAACTAAACCAACTGCACCCTAAGTTTTCCAAAATTACAAATACATACATTTATATTGAAGGTTGTTTAGATTGGACGTCTACTTAATATAAGAAACTAGTACATGTATTTTATAAGTGGCTTAAATCTGAAAATAATAACCGTTATGCAATTGCTCGAGTTACTATGTTAATAAGTATTACATGAAATTCAAGAATAATTTTTATGAACTTTTGAATGAATCACCCAAATGGTCATTGATTTTTGCAAAAAGTTTTCACGGGATCACTGAACTTTAAAAATCACCATATTCATCACTGAACTTTTCAAAAAGTTTCTAAGGGATTACTAAATTTCGTGATCCCTGAGAAACTTTTTGTAAAGTTCAGTGATGAATTATGTGATTTTCAAAGTTCAGTGACATTGTGGATACCTTTGGCAAAGTTCAGTGATGAATTAGATGATTTTTAAAGTTCAGTAACCCCGTGAAAACCTTTCACAAAGTTCATGACCATTTAGATAATTCACTCTATTTTTTTGATAAAAGTGTAATACTATTTGCAATCGTTCACTGTCATAGTCATCATACATGGCATACATGTGACACTGATTTGATGCATTAGTAAGATAGTTTTTTTTTAATTATTTTATGCATCAAATTATTAAACGTCACATGTATATCACATAGGGTGATTGCGATAGTGAGTGACTGTAAAATATGATTATTCTTCATGAAATCGTTGCTAATAATTGTTAAAAAAAATAAAATATAAAAAAAATCCCCAATAGATTGGGTTACGTCTAGCTTGGGTCTAGTAACACCAATCGGAACTTCCCACAAATAAGGTGGAGGTTCGATCCCTTTCCCTATCTCCCTCAATTCATTTCATACTAACATCAATTTTGCAAGTTTATATTGTCCCATTCACACCATGTGATTGGGTTGGAAGTGCCAGATTTTTAATTTTCGTAATATAAATAAAATCTGATTTAATTTTTTGCATGAGTGAAAATCTTAGTGATTCTCATGAAACAAAATACGGAAAAAGTTTGGACATTTAAAATGTAAGAACATTTTTAAGTGACCCTATATTTAAAGAGCATATTCTATGATTTAAAAAATATTTATAAATTCAGAGAGTAAAAATTTTTAAATACTCCAACGAGCTTTTTATATTAACAAACTTAATTTTACAATCCAAAAAAATATTTATTATTTTTTTTCCTGTTTTCTATTTTCAGTATCTTTTCTTCAAATTATTGTATTATTATTTTTTATTGAAAATTAATATACTTTGAATACATGTGATTATAGAGAGTGAATCTGACTCTCCAAATTTGAAGAGTTAAACTCCCCCACTAAATTAAAATGTTAATCAGTAATAGAGTGAGAAAGAGAGTGATACGAGAAGAAAGCACATAGCAGTGTGTATGTTTTCGTGGGGTGAGAAAGTTTCATTCAAGTGAGTAAAATATTCAATAGTGATCTTTGGAGAGTATTTATCCAAAGTTGTACAATTCTATTTCATAAATAAAATCCTATTTTTTAAGCATCTAAATTCAACAATTGTTTAAAGAATTTTTGGAACAAAATTTTAAAATTTGACTCTTTAAAATAGAGAACATTTTATATATTTAAAAAGTCTCTTAAAGATACTCACAATCAAATACTTTAAAATAGACTCTTTTATCTAATAATATTACTCAAGTGGGCTCTTTTCTCTAATAAGATACTCACAACCAAATACTTGATCGAGTTTTGACATTTTTTTTTTTATTTTTTGCCCCCAAGGCACATCTCCAAGTGGTAAAAGGGGAGGGTGGAGAAATCCAACTTTCCTTGAGACTACTGTGTCAAGGGTTCGAATCCTGAAATATGAATTTGGCTCTTGAGTAAGTGCAAGTGTACAAGCAACCTTCCACCCTGTACTCTTGGAAGCATAACCTGCGATTTACCTCCCTCACGATACTCCATGATAGGGGTGGTGGAGAACCCTTAAAGTTAGGGTTTAACCTTTGAGTTTTGATAGGTTTTTTAATTTTTCATACCCTTTAAATGTATTGTTGGATAATGTAAAGTACATGATGAAGAACTGCTAGGTTAGGTAAAGGATTCACGTAGCTATCTCGACAACCGCTCCTTTAGTTAGTAGCTAGTCATGTCTGGAAAATAAAATAAAATTCCTATTTTCAAGGATAGACTGGTATAGATTGATGGCCAGATCTAAATTTTGGAATTTTTTTGTTAGGTAAAAACTCAAGAAATCCAAGATACAAAGGTAAAACCATACAAGAATTTGATCATTCAAGCATCGTGGCTCAAATGAAAGACGTTAACATAACGATCTATAACTCCGAAATTTAGAACAAATGTTTTGGCACCTAGCACAAGAAAATCAAACGTGCCAAACTGGTCTTAGTAATTTATTCATGAAAATCGTCTATCTCATGATTCCAAGATATTTGTTTTGAGGAACGCACAGAAAACCAACTTTTGCAAAGCAACGAAAAAAGATCGACTCAAGCAAACAACAAAGAGGGATACTAGAGAAAGTTGCTGACTTGCCCCTCCCCTAACCTTATCCTGTAAGAGCGGCATTGAGGGCACTGTGTACATCAACCCCAATTTGTGCTTCGGCTTTCTCCTCATCACTTGATGCTGAGCTTAGTTTTTGGGTGAATTCTGCAAGTCCCTTCTGAACGAGGGTCTGGTCGATTTGGTCAAGAGGCGTGGCCTCGACTGCTATTATATCTGCAACGGAATTTGCATGGACGAATGCAAACCCACTGCTCAGAAAATATTTTGTCACTTCATTACCATCATGAACTGATAAAACACCGGGCTTCAGCTCTGCAATTGTAGCAACATGACCAGGCAAGACACCCATTTGTCCAGTAGTTGCTGGAACTATAATCATGTCAACCTATTACAATGCATGCGCACAGATAAAATAAAATGATAAAGAGAAGATACCTAAATAAGTCCGCACAGTTTACACTTAGCCAAGAACAAAAATATACAGGTTCATTGTCAATATAATACATGAAAATGGAAATAATCAAAAGGATCAAAACAAAGTGAAAAAAATAAGTTCATACACGAGTAATTGAGCTAATGTTTCACAAATATTATTTCAAAACTCTTTATTCTACATACTTATTTTCAACCACACATTCATACGATAAAACATTCTGCATGTATATCGAAAAAATTTTCCTACTTTTTAAGCATACATTTTTCAAAAATCCACTATCCAAAACAAAGTTTTTGCCAAATAATCGCCATCAAGGCTTGAATAGCATTGGAAATAAATCTCTGCCAAGAATCATCCCATGTTTATCCCCCTGATGAGTTACCAACTACTCATTTCGGAACTCAACTGATGATTGCGATTTCTTGATTTTTGTCAAGTCATTAATAACTTGATTATTTTTAAACAATAGTACATAGAAACAACGCTTCTAAGAAGCCCTACTAAAACCAATTCTGCACTTTCCGATTTACCAAAATGAAAATATGAGGTGGAAAATTTTGTCAAAATTTACAAGGGCTTAAACATCTAACTTGATTGATGATTCTTCACTACCTGATTGGGCCAAGAAGAAATAAAAGCAGCAAATTGTCAGAATTCTCGAGTAATGCGCACTGCACGTATTGTTGCTTTTGAAATATATCTCTAATTTTCAGTTCAAAAGAACACAAATATTATTGTGTTGCTCCTCATCCCTTGCTGCAAATCAACAGTATTCCAAAGATTATGGAGCATTAACTATCCTAACAGTGAGCTCTAATGCTAGCTGGCAAATATCCTGCAGGGGCAGTGCCAGAAAATTTTTCTTTGCACACTATTATGTAGTTCATCACAAAGTCAAGGTCAGTGTAGAGTACTATTCTTGTGAAAACTTCCTATACCATGTTGCAGGCTTTAAAGAGAAACATTCTTCAGGTTTCGTAACCAAACATTGGCACCACTTTTAGCTGTTCGTGGGAACCATGGAAACATAAAACAGCACAACTTACACAGGATACGCATTCACACCTTACTCCTCAGACATATGAATAAAGTTAAATGCCAAGACCAATAAGATCAACAAGGAAAGATGCATATCATGATCCTTCACTGAACGAATAAAATATCCCCAATCCAGTAGTGGCAGTAATCCTATATGCAAAAAGTGTTTTGTACATCTTGATGTAACAATTCAATAAAGGAACACGAATCCCTGTTCCACCTTGTAAATCAATTTAACCCGTCTAGAGAAACTAATACATAAGGAAATTCACACTATAATCGTCAATAAACAAAGAAAGACAACTTACCAACAATCTTGCAAAATGTTCGCCTATTGCCCCATCCATATCTATTATTAAGTAAAAAACACTTAAGTATTGAATGTCAACATTTTTAGAATCTCCTAGGTGATCCATAAAGCCCAAACCTCATGTAGCCTCAAAAAATTATATATGCTACTTATCTATGAATTTCAAATCCTCTGTTTCAAAATGCATCCACTTAACATAAGAAATGAAAAAAGAAAAGCAGTATCAGATGCAAACCGCAAATAAATTCATGACCTAACCGTCACAGTGAACTTGGCAAAAGAAAATCCATTCTAAAACAAAGCACCATATCTCAAAGCCTTGTTCGCCGTGCTGAAGTAACTATGTCGTTGCTTGAAAGCAATACAATTCTCATACAATTAAAGAGTTGAAAATTTATCCTCATAGTATCCCGTTTCAACATAAACTCATCCTAACTGAACATCCTTCCTGATGCACCGAAAAAGATCTATCATTCAGGATTTCAAAATCACAATTAAGACAATGCAGCATTAGCCCAATTTCAACAATATCATTTCCCATGTATCCGGCATGTTGATATATTCAACAGGCATGTGAGCTCGGATCAGTATTTATATTCAATATCCAAAACAGTAATTCAAAAACTAAAAAACTAAAATTCAGTATAAGACTTGCTAAACCCCAAATACAAAGGAGATTAAGAGAAGAAGACACAAGCCCATAGTTCACCAATTCCACTAAAATTTCACCTCACAACTTAAAATTTCTAAAACCCATTACGAATAAAGGATTAAAAAACTCATCTTTCCAAAAATAAAACATTTGTACGGGTGTATATATGCATATATAAACATCCACGAACATGTATATACAAATATACCTCTTTGGCGGAGACGAGAGAATTATAAGGCAGGGCGAGGTTGACAGTAAGCTTGGAGGGGATGGTGGAGGGTGTGGGCGGTCTTGGTTTCATGTATGCCGAGGGCGTCTTAGGTGGTTCCAAATTCGGGATCGATTGCTTCCACGCATCAACAAACTTGGAGTCCACTGCCGTCTCCACCGGAAGATCGGTGGAGAATGGGCAGCGCCACCTCATCGTGGCGGCGGAGGATCGGGCTAGGAGGAATTTTGAAGCCTGTCTGAACATTTTTCTGGATTTCTGAGGCTCTGCGCGTCGGGGCAAAAAGAAAGATCGAAGAATGTGGAGTGGAGTTGAAAATGGAGGAATAATATGGGCCAATAATAGAGCCCAGATCCATGTTCCAGCCCAATACATTTTCTTGGTTTTTTGGGTTTCAAATTAGTCCCTAAACTTTTATATTTATTTCATTTCAGGCACTCTGTTTCGTCTTGCTGAATTAACAGAAACTCTGACAGTCAATAGGAAACACGTTAGTGCATTATTTATTGGATCATGCTAGATGTATCTAATTTTATTTATCTAATGTTTTACATACACTCACAATAGGAGTGTGGGGACTACATGTTGGGATTATTTTATTCACACGAGGTCCACGTGCTTGTAAGAGTAGGTAAATCAAATTAGGTGCACTTAGAATTATCCTTATTTTTATCACTGAGTCACGTAAAAATGTGTTATTGGACAAACTGTGCTTTTTGGCAAACAAAACACAAGTTTGTCTAGTTAAGGTGACTTGGCCCCTATTTGATAGGAATTAAAATTAGATTTTTAGTAGATTTTGATAAAATGTATGGTTAACAAGTTGTAGGACTCATTAAATATGTTGTTAAAATTGATTTTTGACTTTGATTTAAATTAAAGTCTGAATTTAAAACATGACCAAACAGGGACTTATTTTTCATGCACATCATCATTTTCTATGAATTCTGCAGAATGTGGTAAAAATGAAATAGACAAATCTTTCTCGTCCCCAGCAAGGATTCATTGTAAACTTAGACAGAGAAAAGTGTAGGGGTGTAAGCGGTCCGATTTTATCGATTTTTGACAAATTTTCAAATCAAACTGTTTAAACCATTTTGAGAAAAAACCCAAACCCAAACCAAATCATTTTGAACGGTTTGAAAAAAAAAACTCAAACTTAAACCTAACTATTTAGTCTGATTTTAAACTGTCAATTTCATCGTATATTTTTTTATCTGTTTACTTTTATGACATTAGTTCATTGAATTCAATATATATTTATATCTTACTAGCAATAGATCTAAAACAATCTAAGCCCTTGTTTGAATTAAATTTTTGGGACAAAAATAATGGAAATTTGGACTATTATCCCACAAGTCCAACCGTATTTGTTGACTTGTTGTTTTATGCATGGGACCCAGCCTTCTCTTCAACAATCAATTTTCTCATTTGATAACCTGGAAAATATGGCTCGAACAGGGGCTAAATATATCTACCATAAATTTAAATAGCTGCTAAATCAAAGTGAGATCACAATAAACTAAAACATAGTTTTTCATTTTTGTTCACTTTTTTTTAGGCTAATGACGTTATAATAACGTTCCAATACAAGTCTACTAAACGAAATTTAAGGCCCAAAAAATATAATGATATCCAACAAGATCTCGTAATCATCATATTTGAAAAAAGATTATTGATTAAATAAAGATAATAACCAACCATAATAATAAAGTAGTTGTTTATAATATCTAAATATAACAATTACACAAGCTTACATTTGTATGTTGTTACGAAATGCATTTAATTTCATATTCTTACCTCAGTTTGCTAAAAAAATTTATTGATTTGAAACTTTATTTGTAGCAAATATTATTACTGAAGGCTGGGACATTTTTGTCTTCGATTTGGTGTAATGGACTACAATTCAACTTTGAATAGGCATAAAAAATCTGAAGAAGTGTGTGTGGAGTCGGTAACTCAAGACTATGTTGGGTGTCGATTGGAGTTCATCTGAATTCCGAAGGGGAAAAGGACTTTCGATAGATTATATTAGTTTTGAGATTATTAGATATAAATTAGGATTATTAGGTAATAATAATATATATGTATTAGAAAATTAGAAATTAACAAAAATAGCCACAAATAACAAAACTATTGAATTTTACATATTTGGATGAATTTTAAAAAATTTTCATTTTTTTATTTTTATATATTTTTTCTCGGTCCAGTTTGATTTTAAACCGCAATTAAAATTTTCAAATCTAAACCAAATAATTTTGACCGATTTTGGTTTGATTCAAAACCATTTTGTTGACCAAATCCACATGACACCAAACCGACGATTTCTAAAATGCGGTTTTGACTCGATTTTTCAGTTTTGCGATTTTTCTTACAGCTCTAGAAAAATGAGCGCGGAGAAGATAAGAGTCAAAAGCTATATTATGGGAAATACGCGCTAAAGCTTAAAGCTGTCAAAATGAATGAGCATATCCATGGTGAAATTTTTTTTATTGTGAGTTGTGTCTATGTCAAATGTATTGTACATAATTTATTTATTAAGTATCGGATAAAATTACCTTACAAGTTATAAAATATAGCCCCGTAAATAATTTTAATAGTCACTTTTACCTTCAATTTGCAAGCACCAGTTCATACACACGGGCTAGCTTGGCTTGTGAGCGGCCGGTTCAAACTTGAATATAGGTTCATGACCTTCTCAATTGGGTCCATGAAGACTTTTTTTTTTTCGTTTTTTTTTATTTTTCACGTGAAAACCATTAAAAGTTACCAAAGAAAATTTTTAAAAAGTGTAATACAAATAGGTCTCGGCCTCGTCAGGCAGCAACCTATTTAGATACCTCTAATTACTACTTCAAAAAATTTTCATTTCAAGTTTACTACTTATTTAGAGTTCGTGTTGAACTTGAGAATTCTTAACCCAAAGTTAAATTATATAAGTTGGATCATCCAATTGAAATGTACATTCAATTTTTTCTTTTCACAGGCGTTACCAAAACTCAATCTATAAACTCAAAATCTAACAATAAAATGAGAAAAAACACTCACTGAAATTATAAAAATATCAACAAAATCACCATCATTAAGATTCTAGTTGCTTCAATAAAATTTCTAAAATATTAGGTATGATTTTTTATAATAATGCGATTTAGGCCACTGGGATTGCAACACCCAACCTAAGTAGCTTTGATGTGACATTAAATGATAAGTGGAATTAAATGATTCATTTAATTTCGCTTTTCCTTTAACTTATTATCTAACACCACCTAAACTGGAGTTGAAACTCCAGTTGGGCTACATAGCATTATTTGATATTCTATGACGTTTCAGTGGGATGTGGGATTAATTGATAGGGATTCTTATAGAAATTTTGTATTTATGGTTTTGAAGCTACCCCATTCGATTAATCGTTTGTGTTGTACATTAATGGATATAAGATTTGGAGAGAGTTTTTTTGTTGACTTGGGATTATTAGGATTACTCGTACAAAATCACTCCCAACACAAAACACAAGTAACACACAATTGTCAATAAAACCATCATGAAACAAATTATACTAAGAGTATTTTTAAGAGACTCTTTAAACATAAAATGACCTTTATTTTAAATAGTCAATACTTAAAATTATGTTTCAATAGACTCTTTAAATTAGAATTTTAATTTAGAGAGCGAGTTTGACTCTTTAGATTTGGACAGTCAGCTCCACTATTTATAATTAAATGTATTCAAATAGTTCAATTTTAATAAAGAAAAATAATATAATAACTTGAAAGAAAGCTAGTAAAAATAAAAATAGGAAAAAACAATAAATAATTTTATTAGCTTTGTTTGATGGGATTAATATCAAATTTTTAGTAAATTTTGATAAAAATTGTTGAAATATGTTGTTGAAAAGTTGGGGTTATATAAAATATGTTATTGAAATTAATTGTTACCTTTAACTTGAATTAAATATCTCGATTTTAATCAATTCCAAATAGGGGTTGAGTATTAAATATAAAGAGCGTATTGGAATATTTTGTGTTGCTTCTTTGAAGTCTTTTAGCTTACAATCCACAAGAAGACAAAATGAGTGTTGGTTCATTTTGATTTGCAGTTATCTAATATAGATCTTGTAGGCTTGTTGCCTGTGGTCTTCCCGATGATGTGCATGAGCTTGAACTTTCACTTGGTAATTGCACATGAGATCTTGCTTGTGGTAATGTAAAGTCGTATGCTTTTGTATTTTCTCTCTTGCTTGCTCTACTTCACTATTTGATAATTGAGGGAAAATCATAGTCATCTTTTTATAGGATATGCCATATGGAGCAACCTCTAAATGGGATCTCCATCGGACTTGTTGCCCAACTCCAATATCATTAGAAAGAAACAAGCTACACACATTGTTGGAATCCTTACTCGCTGGTCAAAGATGATACAAGCTTTTTTATTCAACATCCTTGAAGCTGCAGAACCTCATTATGGAACAAGAACAATAGAAACAATCAAATCTATGACATATCACGATTCCAACAAATGAGGGTATTAGAGGAGGAATTGGACGAAGTAAAGAGGAAATAGTGTGAAAATAAATAACCTTATGTCAAATATGTGAAATTTACTTAAAATTATAAAAGCTAACGAGTGTATGTTAATTAGTAAACCAATTATTGTTGGCTAAACACTTATGGTAAATATTTGAGAATGTGGCTCTTGTGATAGCCTGATTAGTGATTCTAAATGCTACAATAATAGCTCAAAGTTGTACCATGATCTAAGTAAAGATAAATTGGTTTTACAAAGTTTTTATGTGATTATTGCGAAGAGGTAACGTGGAAGGGCCCGACACAAAGAATGTTGTGCTATAGCAGCTAATCCTACCAATGAATTTGGGAAAAATTGAAGTAGCACAGGGGTAAAAAAGACAAGGAAAATTGTTTCCATTGAGTTGAACCTTAGAACCAAAGGAGAAAATACCAATTATCCAAAAGCTCGCAATTTTTGTGACGATTTCGTTAGATGTTCGTAGATTGGTTGAAAGAGGTGTTTAGAATCAAGTTGGACCCTAAAAGAGGCATCTGAGTGCCATACACGCAATGCCAGAGCGTTGCCACTACCGTCAGCTTAGCATTGACTATCGCCGAGCTCCACGTGCCTAGCATGAAACTGCTGTTTGAGAGGCATATATGTCTGGGAAAATTTGTTTCTTTTTTTCTTTACTCAGTTTTTATCCTCTTTCCATCTAAAACACATCTTTGGGGTCCTATATATACTACACGAAAATCTTCACTTTTATATGACTTTGTATAAGTTTTAGGGGTTAGACAAT